CAAGTTCCCAGAATAACCAAATATATAGAGTTCACTTGAAAGAAAAATTATTAGAAACTCCACTGTTTAGAGTTGGTCTTTGCTTTCCCTGTTCATTTCCTCAATGAGTGCATTCTATGGAATTTGGCTACCGGTAACTTATATTCCTTACATAATCTCTGCTTACTCACCAAGAAATGGATAGTCCTTCATGGGTATGTTTAGGAGATTGCTTTATTATCCTTCATAGATGAGATGTAATCCCTCAGATCATATAGCTTCTCTGATGTGTTCCTCTTTTTCTTGTATCTTTTCTCTTCATTCATTTAGTAGGTTTCCTTAGGGCTGATCTATAATATCACTGTACCTTTAAAATTATATAGTTGCCTTAATTAGAATTAGGGAAGTAGACCCTAATAATTCCTTCAGTTTAATATTCCATGGGTTCCTACTCTTATTATTCTTGAAAACTAATTAAACAAATTTAACAAATGTTGAGGATTTGTTTTTCATTAAATGACACTGAAGTCAAATCATTTAATTTTCTTACATTGTTTTCTCCTCTTTGTATTTCTTTCTTAACCATACACTAAAAGTCCCAATGTTTTATATCTCTTTGTTTCCAGTATTATAGAACTGCTATCTTAATTTAATGAGAAATCTTTAACCTAACTTATGCAACTAGTATTTTCATTTCGGTTAACATTTTATATATCATGTTCACTTTCTGGATTTACACAATTACCTTGTTTTTAAGGCTGCTTGACTAAAACTGTTGTGTAGCCCTTTTTTGCCCCCTCATTCTAAATATTTGGAAACATCACTTTCCTGTTCATGAATTGTTAACTTGTGCAAAAAGAATTTTAAGTATGACGTGAGATTTTACATAGAAACAGAAATGCTGGGTCTTTAGTTGCTTTTTTAAAAGTGTAAAAGTCATTTTTTTGACATCTCATTGTGCATTAGCATTCATTAAAATTCTGGTCACGTCTTCGTTGAAGAAAATGGAATCTGGGTTTTTATAGTAACAAATATGAATGGAAGGATTTTGTGAATGGTCTTTTTCTTAAAGAAAAGAAAAGAAAAGCTTGGAGCACTTTCACAATTAACTCATAAAACAATTCAGCTACTAATGAATTGACTCCCTGTCTTAAAACAGCATTATAACTGACAGGTTTTTCCCCTCTGCTTCCTCTACTAAGTATCCCAGCTGGTGTTTTACAAACTCAAAGCATCATTCTGAGAGACGCTTCATGATTTATAATACAAGATTGGTTCCTGTGAAACCATTAGGGATGAATTGCTTCTTGTCAATGATTATTTGAAAGGCATTCCTGTATCTGTCTCAAAGCATATGTGAAGGAACGCTTGTCCAGCAAATGCAAATTTCAGGGACACAATTTCTTCATGTTTTTCAAGCATAATGGAAGTATCCTTCAAATATTGCTACAGATAATCAAATAGCTGCAACAGAATTTATTATTTCCTGAATGGGGAAAAGATATAAATCGTGGCTTGTAAGCTAATATCCAGTGATTCTCAGATCATAGTTTTCACTTATATAATCACTCAACAACCATTCAGCTTCAAGGTCTCCCAGCACTGGACAATTAATTTGTGGAAAGGGCAGAAAGAAATTGCTATGGGTTTGAACTATTGTGAATATAAGAGCCACTTGCACCTTGACACTGGCAGTGGACAGTCACCTGTTTTGTTTAGTCTCATTGCTTGTTGACGATGAAGATTCTTAACTAACCAAACTGACTGTGAGACTTTTGGAAGTCCTGGCCTGGAGAATTAATTGAGCTATGTAAAGTCTGGATGTCTGTGTTTAATTGCTGAATTGGTCAGGGAAGCCTGAGAAATTGGATGAAAGAGAGAGAACTAGCCTTTCTTGATTTACAAGAAATTTAAGAATATTGTTCTCCAAACAGAGGAAGTAGGAAAGACTAGAATAACATAAGCATTACTACAGAATTTAAGATGGATTGTTTTGTCCAGGTAGGAACTGTTTGGAGCAGCCCGTGGTGATTTCTGTCAGAGCTAAAACTCTTGTGAAGCTATACTTCCTTTTCCTTTTCCTGCAGCTGTTCAGTTTCTAGTAGTCGAATACTACTACCTTCATGATCTTAGTTGACTAGTGCCAAAGCCAGGCACTAAATCTACTTCCTCCAGTTTGTTAATCTCACATTTTGCTTCCCTTGACATGAAGACTAGCTGTTTTCAAGGGACATGTCCTCATGATGTCAGCTTAGAACCAGCCTTTATTGTTCTAGTTTGGAAATTGTAGTTTTGTTCTTCTCCCAACAGAAAACTTGCCATCTGTACAATCTAGGTTATCATAGGAAAGAGCCCAGAGAGGACCTGATTGGGGAAGGGATCTGTACAGCTGGCCCAACTAAACTCTGGAGGAAATTCCCCCTCCTCAACTGGTTGCTGCATGTTGTGCCTGCAGGGCCATTTTGGATTTGGCTATGAAAGAGAGCAGACAACTAATATTTTTCTCTTTACATTGCAACTCCGGAGATTGATAGTTCTGTCAGCCAGGAGTGCTGCTATTTCATGTGAGACATATAAACACAAGGGGGTGGGGAGAGAAATTGAAAGCAGCCTTTTTGGCTCACCAAACATATTTTTCCTCATTTTCTTGAGGGAAATTGTGTTCAGGAGTAAGAAAGAAAATAAAGATCCGTTGGTTCAATAGCACTGAGAAGACTCTGGTTCAGGCTTCTCTGCTTTGTATTTCAAGTCAGCCGTTCCAATCACTTGCAGATTATTTGGCAGTATTGTCAGAGAAATGGAAGGTTGATATACCTGTCAGACAATCCCCTTTCCTCCCCAAAATTAGTGCTTCAACCCCCAATCCACTCAGTAATATATACAATGGAGAGGCTGGTGTTTGTTTTTTCACTCATCTGTGACCGCTGGTTGAAAGGATGATTGGAAGCCAACCATTGCTGCTCTAAAACTACTCAACGGTTGTGTGAGCATAGCAACATCACCAGGCCTAATTATTGAAGCACAATAAAAGCAGGCTATGAGTGCAGTAAAACTGATATTAATACTCTTTCCTCCTGAATGAAGGACAGAAGGAGAACATATGAACATGGCTTTGAGAATGATCTTAACTGCCATCAGTCTTAGGCAGTATCTGGGTTAGAAGATAGCAGTTGTAATTTAATAGAGTTTAGTCAAGAAAGAGAAAAGTTGCTCAAAAAGGTGCACCACCAAGTTCTATTTATTACAAACTTGCAGGTAAAATAAGTACCTGATGGTTCTGCAACAGATTTTGGGCTAATAGAAAATGAGTCCTATTAGGAAGCAGAACTGGTTTCTTGGATGGAGTTCTTTTTGCTAATGTGAGGAAACATTACAGATTTGCTGAAGAGCCTATTATACAGTGGTAAAATAGTCTCTGGAGAGACCATTATTTGGTTTCTCAGATTCTATAATCTGTTGATTTCATTCTACCTTGATGTAATGCCCATGAGGCACATGAGTGATCTTCATCTGTTTCCTTACCAACAAGGATGCTACAGCTATATTGCTGCTTCACATGTAGGTGAAATGGGAGCAGAGTGCTGTTGCAAAGAAAATTCCACACCATGGATGATACTTCCACAGTGCCTTTACCCACTCTCTTTCTCTCTCCTGCTCCTCCTTCCCTTACTTCCTCCTAGTAGTTGTTCTTAAATGCCATTCTATTCAGGGAGTATGAGCCTGGAATGCAGTGAGCCAGGAAGTGCAACAGAACAAGTAAAACATTTAAGAAATCCATATTATAGCTGTCTGGATGTATTGTATTTTAAACCTTCAGTGGAATATAAGAACCCATTTGCACTTCCTCTAATGAGAGGAAGAAATGATGAAATGAATTTAATCAGATGTTCATGTTAGTTACATTTCAGAGATTAGTAAAAATGAAAACAGAAATTAGAGAAAAAAACACAAACCTTTTCTTAATTAAATACTAGGGCCTCATAATTGGTAGGCAAGAATGAGCTCATAACTTGCCTTTCTTGAGCTCAAAGCCAATAGATTGTCGTCTCTTTTTAAGGGCCATAGAGTTGACATTAATTACATGAGCATTTATAGATTTCCACATGAATGAATAATTGTATGGCTGTGCAAAGTGATTCTCTTTTGGCTTTCTATCCAGATGCATGTTGAATTTGGTTCTCTGTTCTCCTGACATTTGACTGAAGATTGCAGTCAGCAAGTCTCTAATGCCTTTTGTTCTGCAATATATCTTGAAGAGGATCTTAAGCCCATTTTTTTTTTAAAAAAGTATGGTTATAAAAGTTTATTTTATCTGATTATTATTCTGCCTCATGTTCTATTACATTTGTGATCCAACAAAAATCAGTTTTAACAAAATAGGGGCATCTTCAAGGTATAGTCAAAAAGGTCAAGATGGCAGCCCTGACAGTGCTTACCAAACTATAGAATAACAGAGCTGGAAGCGACATTGGAAGTCTTCTAGTCCAACCCCCTGCTCAAGCAGGAGACCCTATACCATTCCAGAGAAGTGGCTGTCTAGTCTCTTCATAAAAATCTCAGTGATGCACCCACAGCTTCTGAAGGCAAGCCATTGCACTGGTTAATTGTTCTCACTATCAGTAAATTTCTCCTTAGTTCTAGGTTGATTCTCTCCTTGATTAGTTTCCATCCATTGTTTCTTGTCTAGTCTTCTGGTGCTTCGTGGCAGCCTCTCAAATATTGGAACACTGCTATCATGTCACCCCCAGTCCTCCTCTTTACTGGACTAGACATATTTAATTCCTGCAACCGTCCTTTTGTTTTTAATACATATCAACATGCAGCAACGCTCCAATCAACACCATCGTAGCTCCCATTTTGAAATATTTTTTTAACCTGCAGACATCTCTGTAACAAAAGGGCAATCCACATGGCAATTTGTGGTATTCTGCATTTTTGAAGTGAAACAAAAAAATTGAAGAGCAACCTTTTGTTGCATTTCCTATGGTGATATTTTATGTAATAGTTGTCTTTTTGTTCAGAGTTCTAGAATGCCAGGGACTCCCAATTGTGAATGGCCAGTGTGATCCTTATGCAACAATTACACTAGCAGGACCATACAGGTTAGTAGCATTTATTGCTTATTCATTTTTTGCAATCTGGTTAAAGTTAAATGAAGAATCCAATGAAATAAATAAAATGGAGACTGTCTTTAAGAATTTGGGAGTTAATATTAAATTCCTACTTCTCTGTATGGAGAATCAGATTTTATTATGGTAACATCTACTGGTCAAACTATTGCTGTTGCCCCAGATCATGTGATTCCGTTGCAAGAGTTCCACTGACAACTAATCTGGGCATAATTCAAAGAGCTGATTATGCCCTATAACGCTTTTTAAGAGCATAGAACAGATTATCTTCTTTATAAATCACTTTATAAAGCTTTAAGAAAATGAGAAAAAAAATCAACACAAGATAATTACAATGCTTGCTTTTTGTTGATGTGAGTTTGGAAAGTGTTGGACTAGAATTAGAGATATGCAAATTCAAGTCCACTCTCAGCAACCGAAACTCATAGGGTTTCTTTGAACGTCTAGAGGAAAGACAGAATGTACATATGTATGTCCTTAATTAATTGTTTTAAAAAAAAATACACTAAGAGATATGGACAACCTAAAGGTTTACTTCCTGTCTCATCCTGCAAGAAGCTTAGAGAGATGAAATAACCAAAAAAGCCATTGTTAAGTATACTTTTAAGAGAACTCTAACACTAGGCCTGACACTTTTCAGCTTATCCTATTTTGGGTAATATTTCTGCCTTGTCCTTTTTTCCTTGCAGATCTGAAGTCAAAAAGACTAAAGTTAAAAAGAAGACAAACAATCCACAATTTGATGAAGTATTTTATTTTGAGGTTGGTATTTTGGAGGAAGGGGGGGAATGTTCTGCTGTAGATGATTGCCATAGTTCCATGCTGTGCCAGCTGCTGGATTTTAGAGAGTGCTCAAGGTAGAGCTTGAAGTATATCCTGGAACCAGCCAGCTATTTGATGGAGCAGAAATGTACTTTCCAGCCGAATGCAGCATTGTTCTTCTGCAGAGAATTTCTGAACTCCTCATTTGGTGCTTCTGAACCAGTCATCCAATTTTGAATTGGTGCTGATAAGTGACTCCTGTTGACTTTGGAGCTTTATGGGTCCTCTGCTATCTTTTTGATCAATAATGGGATGGTTGTCTCAGAGGAAATATAAAAAGCTTTTAAAAAAGTAGCAGCAACCCATTCAAAGCCGGAGTTCATTGGTTAATTGCCAACATGCTATCACACAAAAGGTCTCTTTGCTTCAATAGAAAGCACTTCCTTTCCACTGAGAATGCCAAAGATGTTGTATAACAGGACTTTTTGAAAAATGAAAGGAGGTAAAACTTAGCATCCTTCAGAACTGTTTCCCCCCCCACACACACACACTCTATTTTCTTTTGTTTTGATAGTGGTAGCTATAGGGATAAATGCAAACTTTGAACAGTTCGTTTCAGTTCTGAATCCTGGTCACTCCAGATTCTTTTATCTCATTATTCTTGTCTACTAAAATAACTTACTAGATGTTCAAGGACATCCTCACAGTGACTAGTGTGCAGTAGCTAAGTTAAATCACTGAATATAGAGATTCTTCATATTGGATCAGACTACTGATCCAGCCACATCAGTACTGTCTATGTTGGAAGGTCATCATTCTCCAAAATCTCAGTGCCAGCTACCAGGTTTGAGGCAAATACTGTTTTCCCCCCACCTTGGTACAGCTCCTGCCCAGATTATTAGAGGAAAAAAGGAGAAAATGCTCTGAGAGTTTTTCTTTTTTCTGTGCAGCACCACCAGTTGGTGCTGTATTCTACACAGTAGTGAAACAAAGAGTTTGATGTATGTGACATAAAGCTCTGTATCGGTACTTTGTCATCTTCCTTGTCTGTGTGGCCACTGACAATTCACACTGTGCTGCTTTTTCTACTTTACTGCAGTACTGAATAGGATGCCAATAATTACAACAGCTCCACAGATCCTCTGAAGGTCTCAGCTGTTCCTATCAAGCATTAGATATATTTAGGAAATGATAGGATGCATGGAAATTGTGCATGTGATTAATTCCAGTTTGACATGCAAGTTACACTAGGACTGCAAGCATAAGGCCTAAATTTTAGCTCATGGAAATAAGTAAAGATAGTCTGGAACTTACAGTTGCTTGCTTAGTGACAGTTCAAAGTGCTGATGGACTCCCTCCCCGTGGGTGCCCATGACCCAGTTCTGATGATCGCCCCCTCCCAGTCATGTGGACACTCAGCAACCAGCTTACATTTACAGCTCTTTACAGTGCCTCGCATTCACATAGCTATAATTTACAACATTTTTGCTAAAAACAGGTATTTTCAGGCCCCATAGTGATCAGTGGGCTCACTTAACGACTGCAGATTCACATAACAACCATGGTGATTCACTTAATGTCTGCTATAAAAAAGGTTGTTACATTCAATTGATAATATGATCACCCATTTTATGACTCATGGTTTATGACTAATGGGCAGGTTGCATTACAGTCATAAGTTGAGAATTACCCGTACTTTTAACATATTGCCCATGTATAACTTATCTCAGCTATCCTAACCATTATCCTGCAGTGTAGATCCCTAATAATTCCATATTGTAGACAGATTGCCATTGAGTGACACAAGTGTACTTAATATTATCCAGTGATTTCATCGATAAAGTGATGTATTCACTGTGAAAGTTGTCTCTCACAGCTAACTTTACACTTTGCTTGCTCTAGACAACAAGCAAATAATGGAGCTCTACTGATTTGAAATCTAGAAGTATCTACTCACTGTAGAATTAATGTATTTAATGTAATTAATTAGTGTAATTAGTGTCCTGACTAAGCTTCATGAAAATTTTAAAATTAGTATGGTAGAAATATGAAACATAATTGGGAAATTTTAAACAGATTATGACTTCTAGGTGACATGGTTAAAATCCTGTTTTATAATGAGATTTTTCCAGAAAAAATGGGGTGGGGGTGGTTTCCTTGTGATGCGCAGTTTGACACCCCTGTTATAGAGCCACAGGAACAAAACTTGTCTGAACCTTACTCATTGAAGTAATATCTTGCATTTCCCTATGCAGATAATTTTCATATTTTTTGTGCAGTAAGGTTTACACATATATTTTTATGTCCAAATTAATTTAATAAAGCTCTGTTAGTGTGAACAATGGGACAGGCTAATGGTTTAAGAAGGAATAAGCCCACTGATACTCAAACCAAGGGCTTAAGAAATTATATCTGGAGGCAAATCCTGCTGGGCTGAGTACAGGACAACTTATCCTAGACTTCTGCTGAGCAGTGAGGACTCTTCAGTCCAGCTGACTTTGTACATATATGGAAAATTGGGGCTGGTAATTTGGTAGGGGGTAGGAGGCTTGGAAATCTGGAAGGTCACAAAATGATCTGAAGTAGAGATCTGAGCGTGGGCAAGGAAAGATGTCAGAACTGTTACACAAGACCAGTTTTGGGTGGAGACGGTTTCTTGAATGAAGCAGGAGATAACAGGAGAGGCAGAACAGCTGACCTGTGTAGGCAGAGATGTAGTATTTCTGTATCTGGCCTTATGGCCCTTTTATGGTACCTTTGTGTGGGATGCTGCCAATTCATTATTCAATTAATAATGTCACTGACACAAGCAATTCAGGGTGTGGTTTCCTGTGACTTGCTTTCTCAGGGAGGAGGAAAGAGGTAAAGCCCTTCAGAAGGTGGTAAAATTTTCTTCATTCATTGGAAAAGAAAACGAAGCACGTATATTTGTTTAGTGCAGGAAAAAAGGAGACAAAAATAAGAGGTCTGACTGAAAAAGGAAACAAACTCTGGATCATTGTGGTTGGGTAGCAGTGAGGAGAACTGAAAGAAGGTGAAGCAAATGAAACAGCTGGTGATGGTGCAGGTGGCCATGACAAAGTCACAGAGGAAACCTGCTGTATGATGCAGCAGAATATTTTGAGCATGAAAAGTTTGGTGGTACAAACTGAAAAGGACACAATATATGATAAGTAAAACAATCCGATTTCCATACTTGTTTTCTAACACCCAAAATGATTTCTAATGACTTAGTCACCTGGGACAGATTGATAAACTACAACACTACAAGTTTTCCTAAGGATTCTTCCAGACTTTTATTACCTTCATCTGTTTTCTTCAAGGCTGCATCATGATAGTGAGAATATGAAGAAACTGCCTCCTTTGGAAGCTCAAGGCGTTTGGTCTGCTCTATTCTTTCTGTTACCTCTTTTGAGATGTGACCAGAAATAATTCCAGATTCTGCCGTTAAGATGTAAATTATGGTCAGAAGAAGCAGCAAGTTAAAATGTTCTGAGGCCAATTCTAGTCACTTTCAGCCTAGCATAAAGTGGAACCATCTTGCAAATGCTCTTTCTGGAAAAGGAGTCATGGATGAGATTGTTGAAAAGAGTCTAGAGCAGTGATGGCGAACCTTTTAGAGACCGAGTGCCCAAACTGCAACCCAAAACCCACTTATGCATCGTCGGGTGCCAGGTGGGCATGGCCCATTGGGTGGGTGTGGCCCATTGGGTGGGCGTGGCTGCGGTGATAACAGCAGACTGGGTGGGACTAAACAGTTCAATCAGTCAATTCCAACTTTGCAAGATCTTTTTTTTTCCCGCGAGAAGTTGAAATTGACTGATTGATTGAACCTTTTTTTTGTGTACACGGTGGCGGAGGCCTAAAGCAAAAAGGTTTTATAAAACCCAGCTGAAGGCCTAGGACTGGGGCGACGGCGCGCGTGCCCACAGAGAGGGCTCTGAGTGCCGCCTCTGGCACCCGTGCCATAGGTTCGCCACCACTGGTCTAGAGAGAAAAAAGTTGCAGTAAAGTACTGCAAACCTTACATGACTTTACCCAGTTTATGAAAGAGCAATACATCTCCTCCCAAGAATCATTAAACTTTTTACCATAGTGACTTTGGGCTCTTCCTTCCCTTCTAAAATTAATTTATAAATGCAGCTAAGATTTTTAAGTTTCTTATGGAACATCAAATGTCTGAGAGAAAAGGAGCAAAGATATCCTAGCAGAGCCAGAATTTGTTTAAGGTGTGTGCTAAGAAAGTGTTATCTACACTTCTTGAAGAAAGATATTCTCAGTAGGGCTGGATACTCAACTCCTCTCATACTCAGAAGTTAATACTTGTCTTGAAATATGTATATGAGAAAAATAGGAAGCAGTTGTGCAGGAATACTTCCTGAAAATGCCGGACAGCAATTAAAAAGGAAGAAGATTTTGCAGAACAGGTCAAGAAAGTACCGGCAGAAAGTACTAATAGAGTACAGAATGGCAAAGGGCCAGGATATGAAAATGCTTAAAATGTATCTGGAAAATACCAGGATGTGAAAACTGTAGTTAAGCCAGAAGTCCTTGGGTTTTGTTTTCATCCTACACCATGCACTCTGAATCTGTGAGATACTTATGCTGTATGAAGGAGTACAAAAGTCAAAATATATTTTGGAATATACCAAAGCTGTATAGTATATTTTCATGCAGCTCTCTGAAAAAACAGATGTCTATAGTTGGGTAATAGGGGACTTGCAGAGTACAAGATAAAAATGTCATGTTGTAGAAACAGCTATCATGTGAATTTAGTTTTAATTGGCTATTGTATGCACATGTATGAATCGTGAACATTGAAAAACACATATACATCAAATCTGTTAAGACCCCCTACGTCCTCTGGGACAACCAATCTGCAGGTATATCAGTGGCTATATTTCCTCTTCAAGGACTCAAACTGGTAACATTTTACCAAAATGTGGAAGGTATAACCAATTTTAAAGTGCTGGTTGAATTGAATTTATGGGGTCTTTCAT